CAAAGAACATATAAAGTTAACTATTGGAGTTAAATTGTGCCGATAGTTCTATAAGCTCTCCCAAAACAATAGTAACAGTATCAACAAATACACTTGGTGAAACATTATTCTTACTTCTTTGGACCTATCAGGGATAATCTTGAGTTTATAGCAGATTACTTGCAGAAATCCTGTATATCTTCTATTGAGATGTAAATTAGCGAATTGGGTCCTATTTTAGAATCAAACTAATAGACCAAAAAAAAAAGAAAAGAAACAGGTGTGTATACCCATACCACTTATAAACTAAAAGGAAATGGTATAGGTATATTGTATAGATGTGAAAAAAAAAGAGCAAACACGCATATTCGTGTAGAGGTATTAAATAGGATATATGAATATATATGTTCATGTGTGTATGTGTATGCAGGTCGAGGCATAGTATATAGATATTTGGCACAAAGATATTTTTGCCAAAAAAAAAAAGAAAGACAACAAACTGAAAAATAAACATCGAAAAACCTATTTTATAAAGAAAAAATATTCTAAACTAAACTAGAAAATCTAGACAAAGTAGTTAAAAAGGGAACAATAGTCTCGAAACATTGTTTGTAGTTTACGGAAATCAAGACATATTACCAATATGTGTCTCAAATATACTATTCTGTATATTGGATCTCTACTTAGTTTATTCTGATGCATCTGACTACAGTTTACTAGTTTATTGATAATCTAAGTTACCCAGACACACTAAATAAACAATATGTTGTAAATATCCACTTTGAAAAATAAACAATACTGACTGTTTTGGTGATTTTACATATTAATTTTTTGGAGAAGATAAGTTAAAACATCTACTTTTTTGACAAATTTTCTTAAAAAAAAGTGGTAAGCTAACAAATTTTTTTTGTAGTTGTTCCTTATAAGTTTTACAGTTGTATAGAGATAACCTAAAGTTTGTAATACTTCTGGTATCATTTTAGACATTCTGTGTTCTCAAAATATCCTTTTGGTTTGGATGCCAAATATAATAGAGAAGTTTATTAACCAAAGCTTGATCTTTACAAAAACTAGTTCAAAGTAGACTACTTCTTGGTTTTATACTCTCAGTACTTCATCAACAATATATCTACTTTTGTAGACCAAGTTTATTATTTACTTTAGTGTCTTTTATAATATTTTTTCTTAGTTCAATTTTTAAACTTGTTGACTAAGGGATTGTTGGAATAAGTTGTATATTATTTTTTTAAAATTATAATATATAAATTAAATTTATTTTTATAAAATATTTGATGAAATATATTTATATAAATAAAATAATAATAATAAAAAAGAATATATCTTAACTAATAATTTAAAATTTTAACTAATAAATTTATTTATTTATTTTTTTTATATTAAGGTGGTCTCTTGACTATCTTCTTTTATTCAATTATAGTTAATTTTACAATATGTGTTTATAGCATTCTGTATATATATTTAAAGGTATATAAGTCACATATATAACTTTTAATTGTCTATTTAAGTAGTTTACTTATTACTAAGTTCTACATTAGATACTATATCTATAATCCAACTAGGGTTATCTATTTAAACTCTCTGAATCTATAGAGTTATCTAATAACTGAGCAAGTATACAATTTGTATTTCTTATTTTCAGACACCTGGCTTAAGACTTTAAAGTAGGCTTAACTATTTTAGAGAGCCTTTTGTTCTCAAGAACAAACCTGCTAAAACCTTTCATAATTACAATCTGGCTAATAAGCAATAATAATTATTAGCTTGTGAATAAAGTTACAAGATAGATATTATTGTGAGTTCTAGATGATAGCAGGTCACTAAACTTGTGCATAACAGAATAGTATTTGAGTAACCTGATAATCTAGATTTATTTTTTTGTTCTTTAAATTTTTTGCTTGATATTGTATTTAGCTTTTCCTCTCACCACTCTAAAAAAAAGAAGAAAAGAAGTTAATACACTATTGCAAGTCATACAACTTTCTGAAAAAAATATATGATGCTCAAAATAGCTACTTATGTGACCTTCTTGTGCTTGTTCTGTGACCCTATTTTATATTGTATTACATTATTAGTACAGATTTATTGTTGGCAAGAATGTGATTGTAAGTGTAAAAAGATTAGTTACAACTGTCATATATGAGAAAAAAGCATATGACAAGCAATAGTAATAAGTAAAAGCAAATTTTAGATGTTTTAAAAAATATTATTAATCATATTATACTTGGTTCACTTTAGTCATGCTTGCATAATTTATAACTAAACTACTTTTTCTTTTACCAATATAAATAATAAAACTATTTAGTAATAATATAGCAGTATAGTTAACATAAAGAGGATACAAGAATAGAATTTAAGTTAACCAAGTTATAGTAGTAATATCAAGTATATTCATATTATTATACAAAGTAAACTAGTATGTTACCCGTCGCTTACGCTGACGGAAACGATGAAAAAAATGGTATGAGTTATTGAAAATGAGTTAATATTATTATATAGTAGTATAAAAAAAAAGGAAAAGTAATTAACAAATAAATATAAAAGCAAAGAGAATAAATAGTAAGAATAATAGTAAAGGAAAATAATGATATAAGTAACAAAGTTTAGAAAATCGTTTAGCTTTATTAAAATAAATAAATATACAAAATAAATAGGTAGAATAGATATACAATAAATAGAAATGATATAAAAGTTGAATTAAGATATACAAATAAAAATTATTAAAATTAGATTAAATAAATAATTAAATTATCAAATAATAGTTTACTGTAGAACTTCGGGATAAACAATATTTTGAGTATATCCATCATCTGCGTGTTGACCTTGTAGTAAAAATTTTAACCCTCGATATGATGTTGTCCTCGAGCAAGCAACATATAGTTGGCTATGAGAAAATATTGGTGTTGGCAAATATACTCCTACGTGATTTAATGTTTGACCTTGCGCTTTATTAATTGTAAAGGCAAATGCAGGTTGAATAGGAAATTGAGTACGCTTAAATAAAAAGGAAAAATTAGTATTGGAAGGTGTGAGAGAAATGCGAGGAAGAAAAGTACGAAATCCAGTATTTTTTTCAGAAATAATTTGGACTTCGATAACATGTGGAGCAAATGCGCAACAGATTAATTGGGTTCCATTACATAGTCCTTGAGAAGTGTTGATGTTACGAAGGAGTATAACGGGTGCACCTATTTTTAAAGTTAATTTATGTGGAGGTAAGCCGCTTAGATTAATACTATTCAAGAACTCAATAGGATAAAGGTTAGTAAAGTTATTTTCAGTTGGTTCATCAATACAATCTGCGCTTAAGTAATCGATTTCATCACCGGGAAACATAGTCATAATGGTCGAATTGATAAAAGAAACATCAATATTTTTTGAAGCGAGAATTTCATGTTCTAGAAAATAGTTTGAGTTAGTGGAATTTAAAGTAATGTTAGGGTAAATAAAATCGATTAATTCAAGCAGATTTTTGGATGAAACATAAATGTGGTCAGGAAGTTTGATGTAGTTGCTTTTAGCTGAATTTCGTTCAATTCGATTTTCTCCTACTTGTAAAAGCCAATTTGCAAAGTTGTGGTTTTCAGTAGTCAATAAATTATTTTCAAGTTGTTGTAAACGCATATTAATTGTCAATTTCATGACTTTAATATGTGTCCATAAATAAGATCGCAATAAACAGAAGGCAACAATATCTTCTCTCGCGCCTTTTGGTACAACAGGTAATATCTGGCGGAAGTCATCTCCAAAGACCATGACTTTTTTCCCAAATAGTTGCTCTTGTAAAGAAGGATTTAATACTTTCATTAAATCTTTGAGAGTTTTATCAACTGCCTCAAAAGCATATCGATTAGCCATAGGTGCTTCGTTCCAAATGATAAGATCTGTTTGTTGTAAGAGAGCTGCTAAGTCACTTCTATATGAAATATTACAGGTTGAATTTTCATTTAATTCAAAAGGAATTTTAAACTGTGAATGAGCAGTACATCCTCCATCTAATAAAAGTGCTACAATTCCTGAAGAAGCAATGGCAAGTACTATTCGATAGGAAGATCTAAGTTTATCCAAAAGAACACTATAAAGAAACATTTTTCCAGAGCACCAGGACCATCAACAAAAAATAAAGAAGGTTGGTTAGATTCGATAGCAAAAATGACAGCATTAAATATAGCTTGTTGTTCAATATTTAATCGAAGAAAATTTTCAGCAAATCGATATTCAAGTAAAGGAACGTTATATTGTAATTCTTCTTCAATCAAACGATTATGGTGAATATGGTCTTGAGATAATTGTTTTGGAATAGGTATATTAGGAAAATTTTGGAGGGACATTCCATTTCAAAGTAAAATAGATTCTAATTAAAGCAAAGCTATATTATATTTATTAGTATTACTGGATTGATCTAATATATCATCAGAAAAGGCTATAATATATTTTTCCCAAAGCAATTCAGGGTTAGTAGGATTACAAACATAAGAATAGTAGCAAATAAATGATGTAGCTGTGCTCCAGATTGTATTTGACTGTCTTCTTTTAAACATGCGTCCCATTCTTTGTCATCCTGAAGCATACCCAGGGCTTTACATGCTTCTTTAAATGTAGGGTAAACGATATTATTAATTGTTCGAAGATCATCAAAAGATTTAGCGCCACGTACAATGGTTAATAGTATGCGAAGATAATAACGTTCGCCAGATCTAGGATGTACAAAATACATTCGTCCTATAGTATTTTTTTTTTGTCGTGGTTTCTATTCTTTGTGTTGTTTATTATATACCCAATGTGTTGGAAAGTCTGCATAAGTAAGTTCAGAGGCTTCTTGAAATTGCTGGTTGGCCTTAAACTATGCAGTTAATGTGGTTGCAATTTTTGATCCACGCCTAATTACTTCATCAGAGTCTTCATTATCTTCGAAAATGACTATATGCTGGTCGGGAAGATGAACTTGCAACCTCATAATATCTGGTTTTTCTTGATGTAGTTTATAATGAAATATTCTCCAAGAAGCTTCGGATGCAGAAAGGTAACGGGCATCTATATAAAGACTAATTTCATTAGTTTCCTGTGACTGAATTTTTTGCAAATTTTTTACCTCAATTGTAGCATGATCATGGCCCTTATAAACATATTTAAAAAGGTATTTTACAGCTAATATTGATGAACATATCTCGACATTAATATGGGCGTCATATTTTGTTGCAAGATAGAGATTATGAGACACCACCTAATGATTATCTAAATGTACGCCTCTAACATCTACTGATCTTCCATTATTAAGTTGACAATATATAGGGTAACCATCAGCATTTATTGATGTAGAATCGCAAAAATTACATAGATATCTTTTGGTGCATTTATCATCTTGCATGCATGGGGCTTTAGAATTAGCCAAACCACATAGGCCATGCATCATTGTGCGTCAAACAGTGTCATACACTTTAGGATGCAGATTAATATCAGATATTTCCGCTAAAACAATTGCATTAAAATCTTCTATAGTTTTAGGTTTAGATGCTGAATCAAGTATTAAAAGAATGTGGGAATGTGGAAGTCTACGCTTTTGAAATTCTACTACATATACGTATGCTACAACAATTCCAAAAATGTGGCATTTTAAAATATCATCCATTAAAGCTTTCAATTTCATATTGAAAATTCTTGCTGTTAAATCAGGATGATCAGAAGCTGATTGATTATTTAGAAGTTCAGCAGAAATTTCTGTTCAGGTAGAATTGCAAGTAAAGGTAATAAAAAGATCTGGTTTACCAAATTTACATACAATTGCCATTGCATCTTGATATAGCTGTTGTATTTGGCGCAGCCCTCCAGTAAAGGTTGAAGGAAGAACTATTCACTTTCCTACATTTGCCATATTTAAAATAGATAATTGTTGAGAAACATCATCATAGACAGCTAATGTATCTTGCAGTCTGCTATAGAGTTCAGCGCGAATTCTCTTTTGGTTAAGCTTTAGAAAATTAAGCCTATTTTGTTCTAAACTTGCATAGGCGTCTACTATATATTGTTGAAAAAGGCATCCAGCGAGATGAAGTCCTAAACCCTCTCCTGGTCTCCCTACCTGTAAACGATAAGAGTAATATTGCATCATAGTAACATATTTTCGAGTTCTAACATCAACTTCATTATCCAATTCATTATTTTCGTCATATGTGTTTGGATCGTCTTCCATAGGTGATTGCAAAAGATCTGTAATGTGACACAAAGGAATTTGTGGATGCTATCCATCTTCACCTCTAGGGAATAATAGAACATAATACAATAGCACATATGCTCTGTGCAATTCTGTTATATGTTGTAATCTACCTTCATGAGAACGAATTATTATATCACGATTACAAATTTTAGTTTTATTATTAGGATCTCCAACTATGATAGCTGCAATTTCTGAAGCACATGGGAGATTATATTGGCGTGAATCAGCTGCTCTAGAGTCTTTTATTATCATAGTCAAATGTTGAGACGGATTTTGGCGCAAGATACTACCTATTTGCTGAAAAACATGAACATATGGGTTAGTAATATGAAGTATACGCTGAAGCTCTATAAGTGTTACCACATCTAAAGAAGGCATAATATTATGCCTATTTTGTGCTTCATTTTCTGTGTCAAAAATATAAAGCTGGGCAAATAAAGGAGGCTTAGTAGTTAAATGTAGAGTAAGAGACCCGATTCTATGATATACTTCGCCATGTATACAAAAACTATAAGGGCCTCTTGTTCTAGTAATACGATCATCAATTTTGGTGGCGATAGATATGAAGTCTAAAGCACTATTATAAGCGTGTATATTTTGGCAGAATTCACGTGAACGGGTGTCAGTTCCTGTAAGATAAGACATTAATAATGGTGGTGGTATTTGAATATTTGGAAGTAACACTTTTCCTTAGGCACAGCATATAGCAAATTCTGGTGACTGTTTAGATGTATTTGAGCATCTTTCATCTATCCATTTCAAAGCACCACAATGAGCACATGAATAATTCATCTTTCCAAGACTATGACGATCTAGTCTACTTAAATCAAAAGAATACACTCGTGCCTTTGGAACTGAAACAGGGCTTGTAACCTAGTAAAAGAAGAGTTAACATTATTTAAGGTAGGATTATTACTAATAGTAATATGTTGTTAAAGTGCAGAATCTAAAAGTTGTTCATTAAGAGGATGAGTTACAGAAATGTTAGTATTAGTAGTTGAAAAAACAGAAATATTAGATCCATTAGTTTCAGCAGTTGTCTTTCTTTTCTTATTTTCTTGATAACGTCGTTTACGTTCACATTGAAGCCTTTTCTTATGGTCTCCAGGAGTCTCAGACATTTTTTTTAAAAAAAAAAATAGTAATAAAGTATTATTATAATCAAATCAGTAGTGTAAGAACACACAAATAAGAACTATACTTGCAAAAAAGCAGAATGCCAAGTCAGAATTTCATTCACGTTATATAGATAATAAACATGAGTCGATGTTATACTAACATCAAAGCAACGTGATAAGCAATGTGATATGATGTTACACACCATCTAATTAGCAGATAATTATGTGACCAAGGGGCGAAGATCATCATATACCATTACACTCAATTCAGATTCAATTTAAAATTATTTATACATGATAATCTAAACGTTACTACTACGTGATTCGTATTTTTTTACTATAGTAAATAGATATTGTACTATCATAATTAAATCTTTAAAAATAAAATATTTCTTTTATTATCAATAATAGCTTGTATTTCATTATATATTACAAAGCTAAAATTAAAATTATTAATACTTGGTGTTGTCTATTGTGAAGTCTTAGAATTAAATATATATACCAATAATAAATATCTATAATTATTTGTACTATTTGTATTATATATTTTTCTACTAACTAAAAAATAGTGAAATTATTAATAGAACTAATACATAAACTACCAAAACTATATTTTACTAGTATTCTATTATCTTTGTGCTATAGTAGTATAGTTATATTAAATGAATTTATTTGATAGATCAAGATACCAAAATTCATTAGATACTAAATATAATATCATTCCACCAAAGAAATAAAGCTTAGTACTAACTAATATACTAGTTTGACAACTTTTAATGTTAGGAATATTCTGACTAATAATAATACTAAGCTAAATATTATTAAAAAAGAATATTTAAGAATAACTAATAATATTTTAGATAATTCAGAATTAATTTATTTCAAAAATTAATAGAATTTTAAAAATTGCTATTTCTGTTTGAGTTTCAAAATTAGAAATGAAGTAAGATATTTTTTTAATAAATATTATTATACTGAATTTATAGATGTTTTTTGTATAACAATTAAATTTTCCAAGTACTATATTATATATAATCTAATAATATATATTTTACATGTATATGTTGTGCCTCAGATCGATTCTTGCGTCGGATCTAATCTGACGCACGTCAGATGCCGATTTCCAGGTGATGCACGTCACCTGCCAATTGGTCATCTGACATACATGAGTTGTAATCTGACGCAAGATCATCAAAATCAAAAAAAAAAGTTTCTTTCAACAAAAATGTAATAACGTAATTATGAGCAAGGGTATAAAAAAAACCCTTTGCTACTTCTGTCTTCTCTTTCTTGGCATTTGGTTTGAATATTCTTTATGAACGTTGGCTTTATATCTTCCATTGGCTTTTGCATTCGATGTTGCTTCGTTGGCTTTCACATTCGACATTGGTGGTGCCCATAATTTCTCCACATTCAGCGTTGACTAAATATTTGGTGGCACTTGTTCTTGAATATAAACGTGTCTTCATTTTGCAGCACTTTGCCGCAACATAATTTTTCCTCAAAATAACTGATCTTGTTCTTACCTCCATTAAGCACTGGCATTATTTCTTTGGTGCTGCTTTATAACTGGTTTTGTTCTTGTCTCTTTTTAAGCGGGTGCGTTTTTTTTTTTTGGCGCACCTAATTACTCTGTTCTTGTTCTTACCTCCCTTAGCATTGGCTTTATTCTTTGGCGCTGCTTTATAATTGGTTTTG